TACTTCCAGTTTTTTGGTGGTTCATTGGAGATAAGAGTCTCTCAAACTTTCCTCCACAATCCTCAGATTTCAGCCTCCTGAATACCTAGGTTTACAGGCGTGAGCCACCAACACCCAGATGAGCTCCTGAGGTTTTTAAGGAGCCCAGTGCAGCAATGCTGGGTGTGTCTACAAGAGCCTTTGCAGGTGTGTTCTCTACCTGCAGGGGTCGCCAATGAGTCAATGAGTGATCCAGGGCTTGGGGGTACCACTTGGGCCAAGGGCTGTCTAAATTCTCTGCTCTTCCTTTTCTAACTTAGAAGTGATTCCTAGCTGGGTGCCAGTAATTCTGTCTACTCATCAGGCCCCTGAGATCTGGAGGACTGCTGTTCAAAGCCAGTTGTGAGACTGATACAGAACTTTCCTATACCACGAAGCTATAACCATGCGTCCCCTGAATCGGGTCCCCCTCAAAGTGGGAAATGGGGTCCTGTCCTTGTGCTTTCTGTACCCCTTAGTCCTCTGCCCAAACACCACCATCTGTCACTGCCCGAGTCTCATAGAAACAGTTACAATTTACACATCCCAACTGCTGCGTGTTGCATAAACATGAAGTCAAGAGCCAGCCCCGGGGATGGCTCAGCCATCTGAGGCACACGGCTGTAGAACCTTCCAGAGGCCACACTCCCTTCATATTTATTTACCTGGCAGGCCGCAGAATGAGTCCATTTTGCTTTATGTGCAAAACTTTTCTCCTGGGCCAATGTTCCGATGCCCCCGAATGACATATTGCAAAATGAAATGAAAGTATCAAGAGCAGTAATTTATTCTGGAAATCCATCTTCTGAGAACTACAGCTATCTGCCTTGTCCAGTCCAGCTTGCTTAGCTTGAACCTCCGCTGTCACCCACATTCAATTACTTTCTAAGTCAGAGGTAAACTTCACATCATAAAATACCACTCACAGCCGCATCCAGCCCATCCAAAATCTGCATTACTCTCTTGACCCGAACACCTAGAAATCCACAATTCACACATCGACCAGCTTCGCCCTATTGATATGCCTCTCCCTTATGGTGTATTACGCTAATACATTACCCCGCCACAGCTTTCTGCCGTGATGGATAAGGGCAATTCGTTAGGAAAGCCCGCTTCCTCCAGCCATGGATCGTGCGGAGGACGGCGGGCCACTGATGAACGACACCAACAAGGGCACCAGCCAGGAAGGAACAAGTGCAAAGTGGGTTCAGCCAGGCAGAGAAACACAAACCTCGATCCCACCAACCCCATCCCCCTTTGCCTCCCCCACCCCGCTGGCCTTCACCCACTTTTGTCTCTGCAAACACTGCCCGTCTCTCCCAGGGCTTGGATGGAGACCAAGGTTCACAGGTGCTGCTTTAACTCTGGATACTTCCCAATGAAATTACTAAAAGCAAATTGCATAGGAGATCCTCTTCGGGTTTTTGGTTTTGTTTTCTTTGGGGTTATTGAGCAGTTTGGATGACTGTAGCTATAGGCACAAAAGACATGGCGAACCATTTTCCCACCGATGTTAGGAAACAGCGTAGAACAGTAAAGGATGCTGATGTCACCCGGCCGCGGACGCAGCAGTCTGTGTCACGCAGCACCAGTACTTTCTCAGCACACAACTTTGGCCAGATGATCAAGGCCAGGCCTGGGGGGGCGGGGCAGAGGAGGTGTCTGCTCACCTGTCTCCCATCCTGCTCAGAGGACCAGCCCACAAGGGCCGTCTCTGGCTGATGGCTGACACCTGAGTTAGCAAGCGCCGTCTCTGCGTGTCTCAAACCACCTCACTTTTGCTAATGCAAGTCATGTGGCCAAAGCCAGGGCCCCAGATTAGATGAATCAATGGAGACAGACTCCAGCAATGGAGTCACATCAAACAGCGAAACCCAATCAACGACTGCTATACATGGCGTCCTGAATCGCACAAAAACACTGCTAGGGAAATGGAGGTTACATGCTGAAGCATTTGTAGTTGTGATTCACTTATATAAAATTGGAAATGAGGCATGAGCTCCGACCATGGAAGGAATCGGGGTGGGTCAGCCCTAGCAGGCTGGGGGTGGAGTTCATACAGTAGAAATTCCCGCAGGATGCCTATAATTTGTGATTTTACGTATTTGCTTCATTTCAGTTAAAATGCTCACTTAAAGAATGGCATGCAGGTCATATGTTATGCCTAGAGTAGAATAGAAATGAGACAGCCAAGAACAAGAAGATAAACACATCCACACAACACATAATGCAGTCACCCCGGGCAAGCTATGGGGCAGAGGGATGGGGGACAAAGACAGGAAAGAGGGACAAAGACAGGAAGAGGGAACAAAGCCGGGCAGGGGCTTCCCTCTGGGACTGGGTTCAGTGCTGCTTACCCCTAGTTTAAAAGAAAAGCTTGCCAACTGATGACCTACTCTGATGCAAGACTCAGGTGCGGGCATGTTATTGGCACTTTCAGACCCTGCACCCATTTAGCAAAGAATTCTCCAGCAAACTGATTTCCAATCTGGCTTCTACCTGCTTCCTGACCCTACAATCTAGAACTATGAATTGTGCAAGCCTCAATTTTTTTTTAAACTTGGCTTGTAGAAATAACAAAACCATGACCCTCAAAGGGATTTTGATAATTTAATAAGCTGTTTCATAGGCACTGTTTAATAATTGCCCCAAAGTTAGTCTCAGCAAGTCTAAGTGCAACAAGTCTAAGTCATCTAGTTATCCACCCACTGATCTATCAACCATCCTCCCATCTACCCCTCCACTCACCCATCTATCCATCCACCCATCTATCCCCTCATCCACCCATCTATCCATCCATCCATCCACCCCTGCATCCATCCATTCATTCATCTACCTATCTTTACCACTCACCCACCTACAAATAGATCCATCCTACCCATCCATCCATTCACACATCCACAAATCCTTCTAACCACTCAATCATCATTCACCTGCCCACCCACCCATTCTTCCATCCATTATTCAACTCTTTCTTCCTCCTTCTACCCATTCACCCACCAAGACTTAAAAAGACATAGGAAATTGGAGTTTTATACTCTATTTTAGTTCTCTTATTCTTTTTTTCCTTCGTGATCTTAGACAAATAGTTCAAATTCTCTAAAATATTTTGTCTTCTATAAAATAGGGAGAGTGTGCTTGTCCTTACATTACAAAACTACTATGAAAGTTAAATGATTTGTTAAAGCAACCTCAGCCAATATGTCCACTTACTGGAGTAACAAGGCCTCTTGGCAAAGGGAGAGACATCCCAGGGTAGACAAAGTTAAGAGGCCCAGAATCCAGGCCGTCTCACACTTCAGATCCAGTCTTCATTCCTACAGTGCCTAGCACCTTGCTGGGATTTCCTCAAGTCCCCAACTAAATGCATTGTATCTCCTGTTATATCAGCTAAAGTGACCGTCCCCCTCAGTCCACCATCCATATTCTCTGCAAGAAAGCCCATGAGACTTTTATCTCCATTATGCATCAGAAAATCTTAGCGGAGCTGTGACTCAAGTGGATGAGCAAAAGAAGCTCAAGGATAGCACCCAGGCCTTGAATTCAAGGCCCAGGACCAGCGCGTGCGCGCGCGCACACGCACACACACACACACACACACACACACACTACATACAGCTTGATGTCAGCATCAAGTGTTTATCTGGCAGGCTCTGTAGCTAGCAAGGAAGCCCAGGGACTAACGTTTGCTAAGAGCTCACTACTCACCAGGCGTTGCTCTCCCGTGTCCCCGCCAGTCAGTGCTCTAGTTCCGGCCCACAAGGTGCTGCTCATCTTCCTTCTTCCTGCAGATGAGGAACTGGACCAAAGACCAGAAGTGAATTGTCGTGTGACTCCTTAGAATCCTGAAAGTCACACTCCGAATGTGTAAGCCCCTCTCTCCTACTCCAAAGCTCATGTTCGTTCTCTTTTCACTGTAGTACCTGGAAAAGACTCCATTCCATGCAAAACCAACTCAAGAGAGTCAGAGCAAGATGGAAAACTAAGTAGGGCCGGTGGATAGCGCAGGGGCAGCGAGCCTGGATTCAGTCTCCAGCACCAAGACAAAAGAAAAAGCAAGAAAAATAAAGTAGTTATCATAGTAATTTTAGTATTTGTTTAGTGCTTTCTGATTACTATTATCAAGCCACAGATATGACAGCTATTTTTGAGTCAGGAATAAATGAAAAAAAATTAATAACAAAAAACTTGCTGGGCCCAGTGGCTCACGCCTGTAATCCTAGCTGAGATCCAGAGGATCGTGGCTCACAGCTCAAGCAGAAAAGTCTGTGAGTCTCTTTTCTTCAAAGTAAGTAGCAAAAAGGTGGGCTGAAGGCATAGCTCAAGCGGTAGAATGTTGGCCATGACCAAGAAAGCTGCGTGAGAATCTGAGGCCCTGAGTTCAAACCCTAGGGAAAAAAAAAAAAAGAAAACGAAGAGACAATTGTGCAGCTGACAAAATTTATTAAAGACATGCTCTCTGAAACACTTTTTTTCAATGCACATGATTCTAATAGTAAATATTTTTTACCATTCATTCAAATACAGTATAACAAGTTTATTTAGAATAAATATAAATATACAAAAGTGTACAAAGATGCTAAACAAGTTTCTAATGACGGTGGTGTGTTTAAAAAGCAGAACTAAAGATGAAACACCAGGTATCAAGACAAAAACTACTATTCTGATATGTTAGGCATCCTTCGAGAACGTTCAGCCTCCAGGAAAAATCCTTACCCACCCATCTCCAGTTCATCAGATGTGACAGTGGAAGTGCTACCGATGCCCGAGCACCGCCTGATACAAAGAGAGACCTTCTCGAGAACACAAGCTCAGGCGCCCGCCAGAAAGAATATGAACACCGATTTGCACGCGACACCACCTTCAAGCATCTGAAGACACGGCGTGGTTCGCGCACGCTGCTCTACCACAACCCGCCTGGTCTTACTCTCCCTGCCTGACCAGGGGCCCACGCGTCATCCTGTTTTACTCACGACCACCCGCCAGTGACAAGGGTACTAAAAACCACTGCTCTCAGATGCTGCACAGGCATGCCCAAGCAGAGTTATTGCGTCTCTTTTGGAGTTACACGTATTCTAGGGGTTAAAAATGTCAAACTGCTTTCTTTAGGTAACATCAAGCAGAATATGATCCGGGTTGTAAAGCGCTTTTAAAGCTGAGAAATATAAGCATCTTTCCTCTCCACCCAATCACGTGCCAGCACTTTCATCAGACCTTTAGCAAAGCAAGGAAAGGAACAGCCACCTGTCTCTGACATGGGCTTGGGGCTGTCACCCCATAGCCCCTCTAAGGACCATGGGTAATGCAGTGGAGTACTAAGCCAGTGAGCACAGCACCACTGGATCACCAGGCTCTAATTTAGGGAGTTACTTACATCACGGGAGGAACAGGAGGCGTACCTCGAGCGTGCATATTATTCAAAATGGCCACTCAGTTAACCCTTCAGGAAAAAACAAATTTGGGATTTACTAATGCAAAGTAGGCCATTTCCCTGGGCAGCTCCCCCAGGCTCGTAGCAGGGAGGAGAAACAGAAACTTAAAGTCACTGATTGTTCTGATTTCCCTTCTCAGGGAAAGAGCCGTCAGGACAGACGGATGGAGCAGCTGGAGCACACAGATGTGGACACGCAGCTAGAGATGCAGCCACCACCTCATTTGCACTGTGTGTGGAGAAACCGCGGGTTTCTGGCACACGGAAGCTGCCAGAGCCGCTCCCATAATGCTGATGTTGTGCACACGCAGTGTGGGGCAGCGAAGAGACATGGGCTTCGCCGAGATATTTACACTCCATCCTTTCCCTTCCGCTCATTTCCCCTCCTTTTCCTGCTGGTGTCCTGCCCCTCCCGGCCGGCCACCGGGTTTTCACACCCACTGGATCCCCCCGGGTGCGCCCCACTCTGCGCTCAGTTCTGGGGGCGCAGCGTGCAGCTGGTAGACATGCTTGGGGACGCCTCTGCTGTGGCCCGGCCTGCTCGGTGGAGCAGCTTCTCCGCCGCCGCCGCTCTGATTGTGAGATTTCCAGGCTTTCGACAAATCGAGTCTCTCTTCAGATTCAAAACATAAGAGCAGTGACTTAGCGAGAGCCTCGAGGTCCCCCAGGCCGGCTCCCGGTGTCTCCGTTGTAGCTACGAGGAGAGGAGGCAGGAGCTCACCCAGGCCGCAGTGCACGCGGCCGGCCACGCTGCAGAAATCTTCCACGAGGCTTCTCAGGGGTTGGGCGTCTCCTGGGCACGAGGGGAGGGGGGACAGTTCTAATCAGGTAACTTTTACATCAACACAACTCTAATCAGGTACAGCTGATCCTAGCTACTCAGCAAACTGATTATCTGAGGATCTCTGTTTGAAGCCAGCCCAATTAGCAAAGTGTCTTTGAGAGAATTACCTCCAATAAACCAGGAAAAAGCCAGAGGGGAAGCTGTGCTTCATTGGTAGAGCACCAGCCTTGAGTTAAAGAGCCAAAAAAGCTCAAGGCCCTGAGTTAAAGCCCCAGGAAGAGGACCAAAAACAAAACAAACTCCAAAGTACAATTCCAGACTATTTAAAATTATTCAACTGCTGCAGTGTTTATCCACTAGGCAAGTGCTGGTAGGAGGGTTGAACTCAGGGCTTAGGAGTTTTTTTCTACTCAAGCCTAGCACTCTACCATTTGAGCCACAGATCCACCTCTGGCTTTTTGGTGGTTAATGGGATAGAAGAGTCTTATGGACTCTTCCTGCCCAGGCTGGCCAGGAAGCACGATTTGAGCAGTTAAGATTATAGGCATGAATGCCGCCAATACCCAGCATGCACCTGGCTTTTTTTCTAGCTATGTTCACAGAAAAACATCCAGACATATTAGGCAGAATCAAGTTCCTGTAGATGAAACTACTGTCAAAGAGGAAGCATGGGGGGGGGGAGGGTTTAGTTACGATGTTAGCCCGGAGGGAAAAGGAGGGTCCCTTCCTCTACAGAAGCTTGGTGCACACTCCATTTATTGTGCATACCTCTCAGCGCAGAAATCACCATTTGAATGGTTTTCTCTAAGCAGTGTGTTAACTTCAATAATTCGGGGGCAAGATGAACCATCTTCTTGCAGTTTTGGAATCTACAATCTTCTTGTCCTGGAGCTCTGAAACTTTTCTGTGTGAATCAAGTTAAGATTTAATGTTTTTTTTTTGTCGGTCGTGGGGCTTGAACTCTGAGCCTGGGCGCTGCCCCTCAGCTCTTCAGCTCAAGGCAAGTGTTCTACCACTTGAGCTACAGCGCCACTTCCTCAAGTTAAGATTTAAAAAGTACACAAAATAGGCTACTTAGCAATAAATTTTATCAAGATGATTTTTAATTGTCAGGAACTTATTTTTAATAAACAGTCATTTCCAAACCAATGCTTAACTTGACTTCCATAAGATCAAAGTTAATTACTAACATAATTATCTTTAAAAAGATACAATTTGCAATGAATTTTAAAACGAAGTCTTATTGTCCTCCTATGAGAATGGAATAAAGCAACTTGCATGAACTTATTACCATAAAAGATAAACTTATTTAATTAAAAAAATTCAATTTTATAGCACCTCCCATTTATCATATTTAACTAAAAAATTGCTTTTTTTCCCCCTAATTCCACTAAAGGCTCCATCAGAAATAAGTTTCTTTGCCCATTATATTCAATATATACTAAGTAATAATTGAACTATATAACTTAGGGTTAGGGATGGGAGGGGGGAAATGGGGAGAACAATGGAAGGAATGATAATGATCAAGATACGTTGTACTAGCTCATGCCTATAATCCTAGCTACTGAGGAGGTTGAGATCTGAGGATCATGTTTCAGAGCCAGCCAGGTCAGGAAAGTCTGTAAGACTTTTTTTTTTGTTGTTGGTCGTAGAGCTTGAACTCTGGGCTTGGGCACTGTCCCTCAGCTCTTCAGCTCAAGCCAAGCACTCTACCACGTGAGCCACAGTGCCACTTTCGGTTTTCTAGTGGTTTATTGGAGATAAGAGTCTCGTGGACTTTCCTGCTCGGGCTGGCTTTGAACCATAATCCTCATATTTCAGCCTCCTGAGTAGCTAGGATTACAGGCTTGAGCCACCGGAGCCGGCTTATAAGTCTCTTATTTCCAGTAATCTACTCAGAAAATGCCAGAAGTGCTGCTGTGGCTCAAGTGGTAGCACACTAGCTTTGAGCACAAAGAAACTCAGGGAGAGTGCCCAGGCCCTGAGCTCAAGCCCCAGGACTGGCAAAAAAAAAAAAAAAATTCACTGTAACCTCTTTGTATAAGTGTTTAATGATATTTAAAAAAAAGAAAGAAGTTTCTTTCTGGGGCGGGGTGGGGGACCTGGGGTTTGAACTCAAGGCCTTTCATCTGCTAGTCAGGCACTCAGCCACGCCTCCAGTCATTACTCTCCTTTTATTGTTTTATTTTTATTTTTTGTCAGTCTTGGGGCTTGAACTCTGGGCCTGGGTGCTGACCCTCAGCTCTGCAGCTCAAGGTGAGCACTCTACCACTTGAACCACAGCACCACTTCCGGTTTTCTAAATAGTTTACTAGAGATAAGAGTCTCTCAGACTTTCCTGCCTGGGCTGGCTTTGAAATGCAATCTTCAAATCTCAGCCTCCTGAGTAGCTAGGATTACAGGCGTAAGCCACCAACCCCTGGCTTTTTTTAATTTTTAATTTAATTTATTTATTTTGCCAGTCCTGGGGCTTGAACTCAGGGCCTGGGCACTGTCCCTGAGCTTCTTTGGCTCAAGACTAGCACTCTACCACTTGAGCCACTGCTCTACTTCTGGTTTTTTCTGTGTATGTGGTACTGAGGAATTGAACCCAGGGCTTCATGCATGCTAGGCAAACACTCTACCACTAAGCCACCTTCCCAGCGAGTTACTCTCCTATTTTAAACACTAATAACATAACTAGTTTATATTTTTCTATTTACCTGAGACATGGGAATAAGGTAATTTATCTTATTTAGTTGGGTTTTAAATCTTTGAGCTGAGTATTAAGCACAAAAGCTAACAGATACTAACCCAGTAGTTCTAAGAAACAAATGTAAGGGCACTGTATTAACAAATTCCTACTCAACCTTGTGTCTATTACTAAAACTAGTAGGTTACGATATCTGCAGAGTAGCTACAGACTAGCAAATGTGCTTTAGTTAAACATGTACAGAAGAGTTTTCTTTGACTAAATATAAAAAAGTGAAATAAATGTTATTAATTGAAGTGAAATGATAAAATACACTAAATGGAATTTAAAAAGCAACTTAAATCTTCTCTTACTGTTTTCCATTCAGAGAAGGTGTCTCCAAGAGATCTGATCAGTCCCACGGCACTAGCTTTCATCTGCTTAGTGACCTACAGAGAATAAATGTTTTATAATGAAAATCATTATTTAGAAACATAAAAATCCTAGAATTGCATGGGAATCCAATAAAGTTCTAGTCTGCAAAGCCAGAAGATTGAAGTTCTGTCTCTGGGATTGTAAATAAGTAGCTTTAGGGTATCTAAATCATATAAATGGAATCTCTTTCAAAAATAATTTGTATACTGATTTCTCCAATAAACATACTCTTAGATGTCTAGGATAACAAGATTTGCCTTTTACTTAAATATTAACAGGATCAAATTAGCAAAACTTTCCATGGAAGGAAGTGAAGAAACTGACATACCAAACATTAGATGCTCTGAGAACTTCACAGACATTTTACTATTTGAGGCATGTACTATTGCCCATTAAGGTTACATCCTGAGTCCTAACCCCTGAGACTCAGGACAGCGGAAGCCCAGTCTGAACCCTAAACCTTTGCTCGTGCATTGCTCAGTGCTGCCCCCTAAGGATCAGCTTCATTTCTGCCAGGGGATTCTGTTGAAGTACCCACAGAGCTCTACCCTAAGACTAACTCAGATTTGTTAAGAAGGAAGGAAGGAAGGGAGGGAGGGAGGGAGGGAAAGGAAGGGAAAGTAAGGGAAGGAAAGGAGGGAGAGAGAGGGGGAGACCCAAATCTACACACACACACACACACAAACACACACACACATACACACAGACACAAACTAAAATGTATCAGTTTGTGAAAGCGGAATGCACTGTGTTGAGCTGTGCTCTGCAATGAACTACCAGGATGCACCTCATGCTGTGCCCACTGCCTCGAGAGCTCTTGTTCAAGTTCTTCTGCTTTTTCCAGTCCAGAGTCTAACAGGATCTTCATTCCTGAGCCCACACCATCACAAACAGCATCCATGAATTCTCCCTAGGAGTGATATTTAAGCATTAACTCATTTTCTTGGTCTGTGTAAGTAAAGCTAAGGACATTTTCTAGAATCACAAATTTCTAAACCTAGTTTTTCTTTTTTTTTTGGGTCTGGCCGTGGGGCCTGAACTCTGGGCCTGGGCGCTGTCCCTCAGCTCTTCAGCTCAAGGCTAGCACTCTACCACCTGAGCCACAGCGCCACTTCCAGCTTTCTTTTTGCTTATGTGGTGCTGGGGAATCAAACCCAGGGCCTCAAGCATTCAAGGCAAATGCTCTACCACTGAGCCACCTTCCCAGCCCCTAAACTTAGTTTTTCATATACTGGACTGGATGAGAGGCTCCTGTAGTGGACAGAAATAATCAAATCAAGGACCTCAAAGAATTGTTCTCTTTTTTTGGAGGCAGATTCTCATTAGGTAGTCCAGGCTAGACTTGAACTTGTGATCCTCTGGCCTCTGCCTCCTGAGTGCTGGGATTCCTGGTGTATGCCACAATGTCTAGCGTCAAAAGGATTTTAATGGTTTGCAAAATGTATGTGTTTGCAATTATTTTAACCCACTTACATTGAGACTATTTTAAACCTTATTGTCCAATTATTGAAAGTACAAGTTACTTTGGGAAATGAAGCCGAGTTTAGTGACATGTTACAGAAGTCTTTAATGTTCGCCCATGAGGTCTTGCAGAACTAACCTCTATTAAGTTACCTGGACACCGGTAGTCTGATTGTCCCTGTTGTCCAGGAAACACAGCTTGCTCCCTTTCAGAACGGCTAACTGCCCCACATATTTCACAGCTTGCTGAATAACCTGCTTCACTTTCCTTTGGGCCTCTTTTACCATGGATGAAATATCTGAACAGCATCCCTGAAAGATAAAAACGGGCCAGTGTATCCGATACGTGAGCTTACAAAGGGGAACAGAGCAAAGCCAGTGCGGGCTGGTGGGGAAGCTCAGGGTAGAACACGTGCTCACCACGCCTGGTCCCCAGTACCACAAAAGAATCAAAGAGACAGCTGAACACGGTGAAGGAAATAAATACACGTTCATTGATACAGTGACCACTCTTCATACACATGCTCAAGCCAGAAAACACGGAGCCCTACAGCTATGAAAGATGGCAGCATACAAAACAGTGTCTACCTACAGGAGCTTACATAGGAACAGGAGATACAAGCCAAGTGGGAAATTTAACTAGATAGACAGAACTGAGTAAATGACCCTGCCCACCCCCGGCTCTTTGACCTTTGATCTTTTCCGGTCCTGCTAACCATCTAATGATGATGAACAAATACACTTTCTTTTCTCAGAAGAAAAGGAGGAGAGGGCTATGTGGTAAAACCTGGAAGCTGGGTACAGAGTGTGTGTCCTAGAAAATGAAAAAAGCAAAGCAGCTACACACCAGTAACTCTAGCCTGTCCTTTGTGAAAACATTATTTTATTTGGCAATCACAGCAACCTTCTCTTGGTTCTATCATTAGTCTTATTTTCCAGGTAAGAAAATAAGAATCAAGAAGTGAGGCAGTTCACCCAAGGACACAGACTAAGTTAGCATGGACACCTACAGCCCATGGTGAGTGTTTCCCTACCACCACCACCACCGCGGCCCTCCCCCTCCCCTCCCAGCCCCGCCTCCCCCCCACCATCCCACACTGCCTCTAAAACCTGAGAGCCAACCAAACACACCTCCTCTCCTTTCTACCACAGAGCATTCTGCAGCTCGGTGCTTCTGCAGGCCTGAGCCGGCCAGGCCCCTCTGTTCCAGCTCTCCAGCCAGTCCTCCCTTTTGTTTGGTGGGTCTAGCTGGGAGAACTTCTTTATCTGTGACCACATCTGCGCATGGCCCATCCCGCCTTACAACATCTGCGCATGGCCCATCCCGCCTTACAACCCTGTGCTTCCTCAAGATCCACATCCAAGCGAGCCTTCATCCAGTGTGAATTTAAAGTTCATCCCACACCGATGGTCCTCAGTCGCAGGATGAGACCCATAGCCCCTCTTCCTTCTCAGTCCACAGACCATGAGGAGCACAGGTGGGCACAGGTAGACCCTCTTCTTTTTTTTGGGGGGGTAGGCACTCCTGGGGCTTGAACTCTGGGCCCAGGAGCTGTCCCTCAGCTCTTCAGCTCAAGGCTAGCGCTCTACCACTTGAGCCACAGCGCTACTTCTAGTTTTCTGGTGTTTTATTGGAGATAAGAGTCTCACAGACTTTCATGCCCAGGCTGGTTTTGAACCATGATCCTCAGATCACAGCCTCCTGAGTAGTTAGGATTATAGGCGTGAGCCACTGAATTTTATCTAGTTTTAAGACAAGACAGAAAGGACATCTGAAAAGCCCACAGTTCTAATTTAGGTAAAGATACAGGTGATGGAAAGTGAATAAATACCCAGCGATTAGATTCTTCAAATAAGAACTCAATTTTCAGGCTAGGAGGCATGGTTCAAGCGGCAAGTGCAGGCTCTTGAATTTAGATCCCACTCCTGCCCCCTCCTCCCCTCCCCCTAAGAAAAAAAGATGGAAAGAAATGAAGTTACCTGAAGAAATAACTGCAGGTAGCCCCCCAGCGATTTAATTTCTTGTCTCAGTTCATCTTCAAGCCTTGCTATGCTGGGACAAGGTAGACACTCATTCCACCAGTGTTTGAGTAAAACCACAAGCTGATCGAAAGCACACGTGATCTGTACAGCCAGGGACTGCGCTGCTCGATCCAGAGAGAACACTTTGAAAGAACAAGGAAATAACAGTGATCTAGGTGCACTGTATGCATACACTGCCATGTTCAACAGGAACCCCTTTGTACGACTGCTTAAAAATAATAAAAAGGGAATAAACAAGATAAAAAATTGTTAAAAAGAAATTTAGTGAAAGAAATAATCTCCAAATGAAAGATTCCACATGGCTGGAAATGTGTCTTAGTGGTAGAGTACTTGCTTAGCATGCATGAAGCCCTGGGTTCGATTTCTTGGTACCATATAAACAGAAAAAGCCCGAAGTGGCACTGTGAATAGCCTTGAGCAAAAGCAGCTCAGGGACAATGCCCAGGCCCTGAGTTCAAGCCTCAGGACTAGCACACACACAAAAAGACTGGACACATGATTACCGTGCAAACATTTAAGCATAGTCAAAAACTGTTTGCCACCAGTGTCAAATATTACTCCAACCACAACACAACACAACACAGAAAACAATGGCCCTGAGGTGGAGGGGGCGGTGGAGTGAGGGGTGGGGGCAGTGTCTTACAGTTCTCCTGACTCTCCTCATCCTGCTCTTCATGGGCTTTAGAAATGGCGAGCAGCACAGTATAGATTTTCAGAAGATTACTCATCAGGCTATCTGCTATAGATTTTTCTTCATCATAATTCTGTCCAAGAAAATCTATTGACGAGCCAATCAGTTCTTTGCAAATTCCAGGAAGAAGTGATTCTGTTGAATGAGAGCAGATGCTGCTTGATCTCTCCATTAAACCTGCACAAACAGAAAACAGCCGGTGTATGCCTTGTTGTCACACACCATACCTTCCAACATGTGAATGCAGGAGCATTATAGAATCACCAGCCATAAAGCTTCAAAGGAGCTCATGCTTACTTCAATAGCTTCTACACGCCAGACCCAGGAAACAATTCCATGCAGGAATGAATTCACCCCAGCAGCTGCAGTTCACAGGTTTAGTAGCTTCTCCACCACAACAGAGGTGACGAGAAAACCCCAATACCCCAGCGGTTTAAGCTCCTTTTCTGAGCTCCAGGCTTTTTGTTCAAATTAGCTACCCTTGAGCCATACCTCCAGTTCTAGCTTGTTCCTGATTAACTGTCTTCCAGATAGTTCTGCCCAGGTTGATTTGAACCTCACTCCTCAGAATTCAGCCCCTTGATAGCTAGGATTTATAGGCATGACTCACTAGGACCTGGCTTACTCTCTTCTTCATTTCCTTTTGGAAGGGATTAATTTCGTCTAACACCTGAAGAACTGTACACTACTAAAATAATGGCAATTACATAAAATGAAACCAGAAATGGGAAAAAAGCAGGACACAATGCACTATCTAAAAGTATATAAAACAAAATATCTCCATATAGAAATTTCTTCTAGTGGCATCCCACAATCAAGACAGGCCAGAGCCAGCTGCCTATCTGTAGTTAATGCAGTGTGTTGCTGGGAGACACCTTCCAGACAGAGGGGAATTTTCTGAGCACTATCCAGCCCAGAAGGAAATGTGAATGCTTGAAAGAGCTCATTGAAATCTTCAAGAGAGAACTTTATCTGGGAGGACCAACAAACAAAGATAACAACTCTCCAGAAATGCACAGGATTTGTCTTCTGGGCCAGCCCAGATGATAGAAGAAGCAAACTAAAAGGGAGGCAGGGGCTGGGAATGTGGCTTAGTGGTAGAGTGCTTGAAACCCTGGGTTTGATTCCTCAGTACCACATACACGGAAAAAAAACAGAAGTGGTGCTGTGGCCCAAGTGGTAGAGTACTAGACTTAAGCAAAAGAAGCTCAGAGACAGTGCCCAGGCCCTGAGTTTAAACCCCAAGACTAACTCACTAACTAACTAAATACTAAAAGGGAGGCAGATGGAGGGGCCTAACAGGTCTAGAACAAAATCAGAGTTTAATTTAGAAGGAGAAAAAAAGAAAAGCTAAGAAACCCAAAGTGATAAATAGGCTGACTGTGACTTACTATTACTATGATGGGGTATGGTTTGACTTTAGTCTTCTAGAACAGTCAACTGTTTATTCATAACTGTATAAATGGACTTAAAGAACTTGCCCCTCCCTCCTCCTCCTCTTTTTCTTTTCATTCTACATTATGTTTTAATCAGGTTGCTGTGTGAGTCATAATCATTACAGAGTAATCCACTGCTAGCTGATAGGAAGCTCTTTCTTTGGGATAGGGTCTTGCAATAGTGTCTGGTTTGGCCATTAACTCCTATGCTCAAGTGATGCCCTGCCTCAGCCTCCTAAGCAGCTCAGACTATAGGAGTGTGGCATTATGTCTACCTGAAAGTGTGTGTGTGTGTGTGTGTGTGTGTGTGTGTGTGTGAGAGTGTGTGTGTGTGTCTGTCTGTCCTGGGTGTTGTCCCTTAACTGCTTTTTGCTCAAGGCTAGTGCTCTACCACTTGAGCCTCAGCTTTTTTTTTTTTTTTGCTGGTTGTGGGGCCTGAGCTCTGGGTCTGGGCCCTGTCCCTCAGCTCTTCAGCTCAAGGCTAGCGCTCTACCACTTGAGCCACAGCGACACTTCCAGCTTTTTCTGCTTATGTGGTGCTGAGGAATTGAACCCAGGGCCTCATGCATGCAAGGCAAGCACTCTACCACTGAGCCACCTTCCCAGCCCGAGCCTCAGCTTTCTTCATGATTTTTGGTAGCTTAGTGAAGCTAAGCTTTCCTGCCCAAGCTGGCTTTGAACCATAATCCTAAGACCTCAGCCTCCTAAGTAGCTAGGATTACAGCAGTGAGCTACTTGCACCTAGCAGTGGGATCATTTACAAGCACCAACGTAATACAAATCATGGCATACAATACAAAACGTGCTACAATTTCCTCTTTCACTTACAAAGAAATAACATCCCCCATATTTCTGAACACAAATGTCTTCCACATTTGAGTGGCCACTCTAATAAAAGGGTTTGGAATAAGTCACAGAGCCTAGAATTTTAGGAGGAAAGAAACCACCCAATCCGCCTCTTCATTTTATGATGGAAACATCTAGGCAGGAAAGGTGATGAGGCGGGACCAGTGCGTCTCTCCCTCGGCAGAGCACTGGATGGGATAACACACCTGCCGGCGGGGAAGGGCGCAGATTCGGAGTCGGGTGGACTTGTAAGTCCTGCAGACAACCAGAAATCCTCCTGTTCTTCAGCAAACATCTGCTCCTGAGAAGAACAAACACTGAAACATTGTAGTTATATGCCACAGGGAATGATGTTTTATAAATGTTGGCTTTTAAGGTGGGTCTGGTGGTACAGGCCTGTAATCCAAGCATCTGGGGGGCTGAGTGGGAGGAGTCTGAGTTTGAAGCCAGCCTAGGCTATGTAACGAGACCCTATCAGAACGACAGGAAAGGGAGAGAGGAAAGGAAAGGAGAGACAGACAGACAGACAGACAGGCAGAGACACAGAGAGAGAAAGGAAAGTTTATTTTTAAAATTCTCTAGATGACATGTCTGTGTGTGCTTTATACGAAGGACTAAGTCCACGAGACTCTTCTCTCCAGCAAAAAGCCAGAAGTGGACCTGTGGCTCAAGTAGTAGAGTACCAGCAATGAATGAAAAAGCAGAGAGAGAGCATGAGGCCCTCAATTCATTTTGCTCTCTCAGCTTGATGGCTCAGCAGGCCCTCTACCACTTGAGCCATGCCTCCATTCGGGCACCTTTCTGGACAGTTGGGGATGAGAGCCTCTGAACCTCCATCCTTAGATCTCAACCTTCTGAGTCGCTAGGAATACAGATCTGAGCTACCAGTGCTTGACTCCAATTGTTCTTTTAGCACAAGCTTTATCCTTGAACTATAAAGACAAGTCTCTCCACCAAACATTGATTGTCAAGCTGTTACTCTTAAAAAAAAAAAAAACACATTTTTTTTTGGTACTAGAGATTGAACTCAGGGACTCTACCATATCCCCAGACATAATTTTTGTTGGTTATTTTGGAGACCGAGTCTAGTCTACTTCTCTGCCCAGGCTGGCCTCAAATCATTATCCTCTAGTTCTCAGCCTCCTGAGTAGTTAAGCTTATAAGCACGAGCCACAGGTACCTGGTTAATTATAACTTTTTCCAATTGACTGGCTGCTCTTCATGCTCCTGGAAAAGGCAGCCTACTTCCCTTTGGGATTAATGCACTAGCTTCCTTAACACTAAGTTCTGCTCGTTAATTAGGTCTCCCCACCCCCAAAATTACTTGAATAGCAAACTGAATATAATGGATCTTTTGCTATCTTTTCTAATACTTACTTTTCTTTACTGCTGGCCATTCCAAAGCAAAACAGTATTTGCTTAAAAGACTGGTAAAAGTATTCTATCAGTAGAAGCCTGAAATGTTTCAAATATAAATTCCCCCCTGTAAATTCCCACCTCAAAAAATGGTATGTGCTGATATCAAACATGATCTATGACTGTTAAGAGAAAGAGAGAACCATCAACTGAAATACTGGGTTTCTAATTAGGTATGAAACCAAAGGAACGTTAAAGCAGGAAGACTGATTCTTCCAACACTCTCCTAGTTAAAGTTTAAACCCAAGTAAACAAAATGCTTGTCACAGTCCTTCCCAAGTGTTTTTACATAACCTCAGAAATTCACTTTCAATTTTCACCACAACGTATCAGAATTTATCGGCAGCAAACCCAGACTACGCTGCACAACAGCCCAGAAGCGTTCCACAGACAAAGGGCTATCGGTGTCCCCAGCATCGCAAGCTGTTTGCAATTCGATCATAAATCTCCTCAAGGGCAGAAACTTTGTACGTAAGGTCTCAGACTAAGAGCAATTCATTTATTAAAAAAAAATTAAAAACCTCAGCCAAATGAAAACCCTTCCTTTCAAAATCTTAAGAAACCATTTTGAAAGACATTCTGTGATATTTTATAATTCTCTACTGGTCTCCTAGTTTCTTATTCAACTAAAAGTCTAAGGAAATAAGACTTGTAAATCATCAACATTCAATAGTTACAACTTTAGAATGCATTCATGTTTTTGTATGCGTGTGTGCCAATAACGGGCCTTGAACGTAGGGCCTCCTTCCAATTATGGAGATGAGTCTCATGGACTTTTCTGGATGGGTTCACTCTGAATTGAGATCCTCAGGTCTCAGCCTCCTAACTAGCTAAAATTACAGCAAGAGCCCCAGCGCCTGACTAGAACAATTAGTTATTAATGCTCATACTGTGATAAATAATTCTAAGGACATTAAGTTTATATTTTTTTAATAATGCAAACAGAAAGAAACTAGAAATCCTAAAATCCAAAGGAATTCGTAAGTCATTCTTGATTGAGTTTGTTAGTCTGTTTTAAATTTTGGAGAAGTTTATATCCTTGTTGATTGCCTTAAGTATCTTAAAGCTAGTTTCCTGGCAGTTAACTGGAGATATGTCTCATGGACTTTCCTGCCTGGCTGGCTTCGAACTGTGATCCTCAGATCTCAGACTCCTAAGTAGCCAGGATTATAGGTGTGAGCCACCAGCACCCAGCTTGTCCTAGTGATTTCTGGCTGCAGCTTAGCAATTTAGCACATAGTAAGTAAAGCAGAAATACTAAGAAATGTTTACTCTAACAGTTCTACTTCTTTGACAATACAAGATGAATTTAAGCAAGCATGGTTGGAAACAACAAGAAGCCTAATGAAGTTTGATAACTCAAACTGATCTTGAACTGCAGCTCAAAATGATACAACTTGCTTTCCTGATTTAAATAGTTCTTGTTAACTTTTTTTTTTAATGATCTTTAAGTCGTTGTACAAAGGGGTTTCAATTCAATGTGTCAGTTTATGAGTACAATGCATCTTGATCAATGCCACCCCTTCTGATGACTTTTTTTATTTTTTTTTGCCAGTCATGGGGCTTCAACTCTGGGCCTAGGTTCTGTCCCTCAGCTCTTCAGCTCAAAGCTAGCACTCTACCACTTGAGCCTCAGTGCCACTTCCGGTTTTCTGGTGGTTTATTGGAGATAAGAGTTTCATGGACTTTCCTGCTCAGGCTGGCTTTGAACCATGATCCTCAGATCTCAGCCTCCTGAATAGCTAGAATTACAGGTGTGAGCCACTAGTGCCGAGCGGATTTTTTTTTAAAGGAATGAAAAACAATGTAGCTGGGAGATACTATGATAGCGGATTAGCTCAAGTGAGAAAGCCGGGAGCTGTGGGCTCATCTTTTAGTGACAACTCTCCCTTATCAGCAGCAGCTTGTGACTTTAAATGCTGTTCCTTCACCAGCAAAATGGCAAAGGAAGCAGCAGTTCAAGGGTTTGTGTTGCATACCAAACGAGACCATGCTTACCAAGCACTCAATAATTTTTTTTTTCTCTTTTATTTTTTTGGTCCGTTGTAGGGCTTGAACTCTGGGCCTGGGAGCTGTCCCCAAGCTCTTTAGCTCAAAGCTAGGGCTCTACCACTTGAGCCACAGTGCCACTTCCAATTTTCTGGTGGTTAATTGGAGATAAGAGTCTCACAGATACTCCTGCCTGGGTTGGCTTTGAACTGCGATCCTCAGATCTCAGCCTCCTGGGTAGCTAGGATTACAGGTGTGAGCCACTGTGTCTGGCTATTTTTCTTTTTGAAGACAGTGTCTTGCTGTGCAGGCCCAGGCTGGCCTTGAACTCTCAATATTCCTACCTCTACCTCCCACGTGATGGGACGGCAGGGGTGTTGCCCCACATCTGTCTTAACAGATGTTCCTGATCATGAGGATGCCACCACTAATGCGCCAATGGTGTTGACCCCTCTATCCTGCAAACGCCCTAGGCCCCGCTTCAAAGCGCCAGACTTGGAAACACAGCTGGCTGTGCCCTGGAACCTCAAACCTGCTCAAAAGTGAGCTTCGCCCCATCTCAGGCAACAAACACCCTCTTCCTCTAGCCTGACACCTGACCCAAGCCAGGCATAGCCTCCAGCCCCTCCTCGCCTTCCACCCACAAGCGGTCCCCAAGTCCTCCTGCACCTGTTGCTCCCAAGTGCAGACCCACTTCTCCCTCCAGTCCCCCTGCCCACCTCGCTTCAGTCCACAGCATCTGCCTCAACTTTGCTCAATGCTTGCTTACGAAGACAGCAAGCACTTATTTATTTATTTATTTTTCAAGATACAGCAGACAGTAGTCAGCACAGAAATATTTGTCCAACTAAAGGGCGTAACCGTCTGGGCTTTCTATACCTCTCCATCCCTTCACCGCCACAGTCTGAGCGCCCGCAGTCTAAGCAGAACCACGATTTCCTTAAAAACCATCTTTGTACTATAGAAATCCTTACACTTTCAGTTAACAAGAAATGGATAGCAAATATATTAGTTTTCTAGCAGCATGGTTTATTCTTTTCTAGTGCTTACATTAACCAGAGTACATTTAAAATTTGATGGCTTCCAGTAAAACATTACAGGCTATGCCAAGTTCTTAAGAAAGAGAAATTTAAAGTAATACTCTTTCTTCTTCATAGGAAATTAAATTTATGCTGCTCTTAGATGCTCTTAAAACTTGGGTGGTGAGCCAGGTGCTGGTGGCTCACACCTGTTAATCCTAGCTACTCAAGGAGGCTGAGATCTGAGGATCGAGGTTCAAAGCCAGCCCAGGCAGGAAAGTCCCTGAGACTCTTATCTCCAATAAACCACTCAGAAAACTGGAAGTGACATAGTGGCTCAAGTGGTTGAGTGCTAGCCTTGAGCTGAAGAGCTGAGGGACAGCACCCAGGCCCAGAGTTTAAGCCCCATGACCGAAAAAAAAAAAAACAAAACTTGGATGATGAACTATTGAATACTTTTGGTGCTCTATCACATGACACTGTAATGTCCTATGCTATAGTTTAATCACTAATGTATTATTCCATTTGTAGTTCTGGGTTCCCGTCACAGATATAGTCATCATGACAGTGAATTACATATTTAGATAAAATATGACCTATTTATTATGTGTACATAAATATATGTGCACACATTATACATGTGAGTTTTACATACACACACACACACACACACCCTCCAGAATAACACACACATCTTTACCTCCTTCGAGAAAGTGAAGACACTGACGTGTTCGTAATGTCAGGCTCCCACTCATCTTCAGGATCGCAAAACACATCGTCACCCCTGCTAACACCGTTACTCTAAAGAAAGGAAACACAGTTTCCATTGTTATCAGTGAGAAAAAAAGTTTAGCAATTACAGGAAAAAGCTTAACTCTGTTGCTACGTTCAAACATAAAATTAGCAAAATTACAGAACATCAGATTAAAAAAAAATCACAATCCTGATAAAATGTAATAAATAATCCCTGTTCAGGATTACATACTTCAAAAAGGATAAAGTTGGTTTAAAGCTAATAAGAATAACTTAGAAAAGACAGGGAAAATAAAACAAAAATAAAAGACTAATCTGACAAAGTGAAGATGGAAATGTGGGCTACAGTGGGACTCAATGGCAGAGCATGCACCTCGTAGCCATGAGACTGTGGGTTTGAGCCCTGGGATCTCAGAAAAAGAAAAGGGCACCGGTGGCTCATGCCTGTAATCCTAACTACTTAGAAGGCTGAGATTTGAGGATTACGGTTTGATGCCAGTCTGGACAGGAAACTCCCCAAGACTCTTATCTCCAATAAACTATTCAAAAAAGCTGGAAGTGGTGCTGTGGCTCAAGTGGTGAAGCACTCACCTTGAGCAAAAGAAGCTCAAAGAAGAGACAAAACTGAGGCCCAGAGTTCAAGCCCCAGGACTGGCAAAAAAAAAATACAAATAAAAATTAAAAGAGAAAGAGGGCTGGGAAGGTGGCTCAGTGGTAGAGTGCTTACCTTGCATGCCTGAGGCCCTGGGTTCGATTCCTCAGCACCACATAAGCAAAAAAGAAAAAAACTGGAAGTGGCGCTGTGGCTCAAGTGGTAGAGCACTAGCCTTGAGCTGAAGAGCTGAGGGACAGCGCCCAGGCCCAGAGTTCAGGCCCCACGACCGGACCAAAAAAAAAAAAAATTAAAAGAGAAAGAAAGCTAAGCTAGGCTCCAGTGCCATAGTCCTAGCTACTTAGGCTGAGATCCGAGGATCACAGTTCAAAGCTAGCACAGACAGGAAAACCCATGAGACTCTTATCTCTAATTAACCACCAAAAAAAGCTGGAAGAGGTGTGGCTCAAGTGGTAGAGTGCTAGCCTTGAACTTAAAAGCTTAATGACAATGCCCAGGCACAAAATTTAAATCCTAGGACCTACCCTACTTACCCCCACCCCTACCCACATACACACAGAAACTGAAGAAAAGGCACAAAAATAACTTCACATATAACTTATAACTATATTAAGACCAATAGGACTGGGCCCTGGTGACTCATGTTTGTAATCCTAGCTACTTGGCAAGCCAAGAGATGAAGTATCTTGATTCTAGGCCAGCCTAGAAAATAACCAGCTAAAACAGGACTGGAGGCCTGGCTCAAATGGTAGTGCACCTGCCTAGCAAGCACAAGGCACAAACTCCAGTACCACAAAATAATCAATACATTTTCTTATAAGCAAAAGTAAATATATATATATATATATATATATATATATATATAAAATGGTTAATATTGTCTTGAGTAATTAATTGATGGATTGCCTTTTATTTTTGAAAGTTTTCTTTACTAAGCTACAACGCCTTATATTTTTTCAGCAGTCTAGAAAGACTTCAGTAATTCTGCAAACCTCATAAAGTTCTTTCATGGCTGCAAGTTTAGATTCAAACTTTTCCACACTCCATACAGTTGAGATCCCAAGCCGCAGGTCACGAACCCGAATAGAAGTGTCAGAACGCCCCTTATCAGATGCATCGTGTCTGAGAGAAAAATCAAACAGAAGCATTTTTCCTATGATGCACCCACCAGCTCGCACCGAGAGCTGCCTGAAGAAGCGTGACTTCCATAAAACTTCAGTGTGCTCCTTACCTCACCCCACTGCTAGACATTTATACTGTAGTAACAAGCAGGTCCAGTTATACTAGACAAAAGCACCTTCACGTCAAAAATAATTTCACAGGTAATTTTTTTCAATTTTAAGAAAGGACATTATTCCTTTAAAAAAGTGCAGAGCCAGACACCAGTGACTCATGCCCTAATCCTAGCTACTCAGGAGGCTGAGATCTGAGGATCATGGTTCAAAGCCAGCCTGGGCAGGAAAGTCCGTGAGACTGTGAGTACGCAGGGCTGGAGGTGGAACTCAGTCGTTAGAGTGCTTGCCTAACGTGTGAAAGGACCTGGGTACAATCCCTTGCACTATACAAAAGCAAAAAAGTAAACTAACTAAAGAAGCATATGACTATAATCCCAATATTCAGGAGACTGAATATTAGGTACATACCCCCTTCCTTCCACAGCCCCATACACACTCATTAGTAAATCCCTAAAACATCTCCACTAATTCTTTTTATAAATGCACTTAGGATATTAGGGCTGTGGCCTCCCCATTCCCTGGCTAAACTTCCAAGTGTCAGTAGTGATTCACATAGCAATTTTTTCCTACTGGCATGGCAGATAGACTTCAAAGAAATTAAAAAAGAAAAACTGACACACAACAACAAACCAATACAGGCAACTCATTTTAAAACAACTGCTTTAAAATCAAGATTATCATGAAGCACTCACCTGCCAAAAGCATAATGTTTTTTTAATTTGCTGCTGATAGTGTTGGCCTCCTGAATCATCACGGAGAGTTTCATGGAGCTCCAGTTGGGCTGAACTAACACAAAGGCACAGAGAGGATTTAAGCACACTGTGAGTGGACACGCAGAAGACACGGGCTGCAAACAACCAACACGCAGGCTGAGAATGATGACGGCTGAGCAGTTTCCCTTCAGAGCTCACTGGGACAAGAAAACCCCACAGCCAGTGAGTGTGGCATACAATCCTCCCACTCAGAAGGCAGAGACAGGAGATCATGAGTTCAATACCAGGCTCGGCTTTACTGTGAGAACCTGTCTCAAAAGCAAGCAACCAAACAAAAACCAATGCGGTGAAGAGATGGAAGAAAACTTTTGACTAAAAAAAAAAGTTTTAGTATAAGTTGGGCACCAGTGGCTCTCACCTATAATCCTAGCTACTCAGGAGGCTGAGATCTGAGGATCACAATTCAAAGCATGCCCAGGTAAGAAAGTCTGTGAGACTATTACCTCCAATTAACCGCCAAAAAAGCTGGAGGTAGAGCTGTGGCTCAAAGTGGTAGAGCACTAGCCTTGAGCAAAAAAGCTCAGGGACAATGGACAAAAAACAACAAAAAATACCTAAAAGAAAAGCTTTAGTATAAAAAGGAGCCACAAAAGACAATGTTTTTTCAGATAGTATCCAAGATTTTTCTTCTGACTTCTATTTAATTTTTCTAATTTCTTTTTAAAGTATCAAGGTTAAGTATATGATAGTCTTACTCATATAGAAACATAATCCTTTTTAACTTTTCCAGAAAATATTCTGTGGCACCAAAAAATAAAATAGGGTCAGGCACGGTATATTTCTTGCTACTCAGGAGGCTGAGATCTGAGGACAGTGGTTTGAAGCTAGTCTGGGCAGACTATCTCCAATTAACAGCAAAAGGCTGGAGGTAGAGGTGTTACTTAAATGATGAGCATCAGCCTTGGGAGGAAAAAACCAAGAGCTGAAGCGCTGAGTTCAAGCCCCAGTAGCAGCACAAAATAATAACAAAAGAAAATAAACAGGAAAACAATTTTGTCTAAAATTTCCTTTTCCTAATTAGTAACGCACTAATCGTACAAATCAGTGAGATGCACCATGATTTTCCATATGTGCAAACATCCTACCATCCTTTATTCTTGGTCCTTCCTTCTCCCAGCCCCATCACCTTTGCCAGGCCTTAAATATCCTGAGGAATTTCTCTGCTCCCTTCCCCCATCCCTTCTCTGTCTCCAGTGATGACTATTCCATTCTATACTTTCACAAGGGTGACTTACTGGTTTCCTTAAATGAAATATATTATCATTTTGAGAGACACATTCAATCTATAGATTCTACATCCACACACATTTATTTACATACAGAAAAGTCAGCAACACCTAGAATAAAGTATATTTAGTATAGAATGGCAAATGACATTTTAGTGATCGTAAGTAAACAAATGACTTCTAAAAATGTATGCTAAAGCAATCATACTCACCTGCCAACAGTTTATCCCTATTACTCTGATTCTGCTGCAAAATTTGTAGTTCTTTAGCAATTTTTTGCTTCTCAGCTTCTAAAGCTTCCAGAATTTTTGCATGGCGGATGCTGTGGTCTGCTAGGGCCTAATTGATGTTCAATCATTTGTATAGATCCACACATATGAGGATATACAGAGAGAAAAGTTACAAAATCAGATTGAGATGATGGATTTGCTAATTTGCTTTTCCTATTTACATATTTCCCATGAAACCATGCTGTGTATCTTACATGTATACATAAAGAAAAATTTAAAAACTGATTAGTAACAGTCTCACTACAACTATAGCCTTCTTTCTTTCTTTCTTTCTTTCTTTCTTTTCTTTCTTTCTTTCTTTCGTGCCAGTACAGGGCTTAAACTCAGGGTCTGGATGTTTGTTGCCCCTGAGCTGTTCTAGGTTAGCACTTTACCACAGAGCCACATCTCCAGTTTTTTTTTCCCCCAAGTTGACTGGTGATAAAGAATCTCATGAAAGGGCTGAGAAGGTGGCTCAGTGATAGAGCGCTTGCCTTGCATGCTTGAGGCCCTGGGTTCGATTCCTTAGTATCACAAAAGCAGAGAACGATGGAAGTGGCGCTGTGGCTCAAGTGGTAGAGCGCTAGCCTTGAGCTGAAGAGCTGAGGGACAGCGCCCAGGCCCAGAGTTCAGGCCCCATGACCAACAACAACAACAACAAAAAGACTTTCTTGCCTGGGTTGGCTTCGAATCATGATCCTCAGATCTCAACCTCCTAAATAGTTAGAATTACAGACATGAGCCACCTGCACCCCGCTAAAATTTCTTACTATGATGCCACAGCCCCCATCCCAACATGTGAAACTTTTTTTTTGGGGGGGGGACCAGTTGTGGGACCTGAACTCTGGGCCTGGGCGCTGTCCCTCAGCTCTTCAGCTCAAGGCTAGCGCTCTACCACTTGAGCCACAGCACCACTTCCAGCTTTTTTCTT